ATTAAAAATTAAAATTGATAAACGATTTTAAAAATTAAAATAAATAAAATTATATACAAAAAAAAAAAAAAAAAAAAAAAAAAAAAGAAATACAAAAAAAAAAATTTTATATAAAAATTTTTAAGAAAAATAGACAAAAAAAAAAAGAAAAAAAAAAAAAAATTACAATAAAGTGTATATATGATCAAATTAAAAATTTTATAAAAATTTGTATATGAAGAGTATTATATTTTTAAGAAATTTTAAAAAGAAAAATATCTAGGCTAAGATAATTGGAAAGTATTAAAAGTTAATAAAATGAAAAAAAAAAAAAGAAAAACCATCATTATATTATTTGAAATTAAAATATTTTTTTAATAGTTGAATATCAAAATCCTCATCATCATTAAATGATTCATAAGTTTCATCTTCTTCAATTTTAAGTGTATCATAATAATCATTTTTTAGAATCTTATCAGAAATTTCACAATTTTCATTTTGGTTACTACTTTCCTTTATTATATTATATTTTATATTTTCATCATTTATTTTGGGTAGAAAGTACTGATTACAATTATTGCTATTCTCATCTTTATCTAATAAAAAATTATTATATTTTTCTGAATTTTCATTTTCATTATATAAAAACATTTTACATTCTACGTTATTTGTATCCAAAAAATTGCTATTATATTCATTTCTATTTATACTATGTGGTAGTAATTGATTCTTTTCTTCATTATTTTCTTCTTTCATATGGTCATATGTATCTTCTATATCTAAGTAAATTGTATCTATCGTATTTAATAAAGTATCTTCATATTCTTTTCTTAAAAATTTTTTTAAATCTTCTCTTGTTAATTTTAATACTTCATTTGGTGGTAGCAAGTTTAATTTTTCTTTTAATTTTCTTTTTCTTTCTCTATTTAACTTTATAGAGATTTCCCAAATAAAACGGCATATATTTATCCATAGACATTTAGTGGGCTCACAAAATATAATTTCTAATTCTAAAAAAGAATTTATCATCCTTTCGTTTATTTTTATGATAGTTGGATGCATATAAGCTCTTTTCATTTCTTCAATAACTAAATATGCCTATTAAAAAAAAAAAAATTAAAATAATATTTATCCTTTTTTTTTTTTTTTTTTTTTTTTTTTTATTTCTATTTCATTTTTTCTTTTGTTTTTATATACTTACATTTTCATTTTTTTTTTTATGATTTAAAATATAAGAATGCGTAATTATAGAATAAATAACTTCATCGTATTTATGACCTTCATTTAAATACTGTTGAATTATATTTTCAAATAAAGTAAAATTATATTGAGTCAAAGCATTCCATAGTTTAAAATAATATATCCTTTTTATTTCATTTACACAATTTCCTTTTTTTAATTTATTATTTAAAAATATTTTTTTATTTTCATATTGATTAAATACGTAATCTTTTTTTAAAAATTTTGTATCCTCTTTTATTTGAGGAGCTCCATATACGTGTTTAGTAAAATAAATAGATGGATATATTTTTAAATATCTTTTTATCATTTTCTTTAAAAAAAAATGCTATAATTGTTTTAGATTTTTTTTCCCATTAATTTATGTATAATTTTCTACCTGTCTATTATATAAGTATACTGAAAAATATTTAAAATGCACATAATATATAAAAACTAATATACTAAATTTAAAATCTTTGTTTTTCTCTTTATAAACATAATGTGTTTAAAATAAATGTAGAAACATCTTTAACCTTAATAAAAATTTTTAAATATATTTAATCTTTAAAATCGTCTGTTATTGCTATAATTAATACAACATATTATAATTTTTAAAAAAACATATTCTGAAGTGTGTTTCGTGAAATTTATGTTTTTTTGTTTATTTTACTTTTGCATTTATATATTACCTTAAAAAAGTTTATATGAATCTTTACAATAAAAAATATAATTTATTCTTAAATTTTTTTTTTTTTTTATTAACAGAATCATGTAATAATAAATAAAAAGATATTGCCTTAACATTAATAGAATATTTTTTTCTTACTTTTTTTTTTTATGTAATGTTAAATAAATGCATGTTTGTAAAATTATAAAATTGAAATTTTTTTTCCTTAACTTTATTGTATTTATTTTTTGTTAATTAAAAGTTTTATATATTCCGTTTTTTTATTCTTATGTATTTTAAAATAATATAAATGGAATTGCAGATATATATAAAAATAATTTTTTTAGTATAAAGAAGAAAGTTAAATTTATTGAAGTGGAGTGAAAAGTTTATTCTATCTACATAATTTTTTGTTTGAGCAAGTAAAAGAATTACAATTTTTTTTTATTCAAGAATATAGCTTTATATAATTAAATTTTAAATAAAAAAAAAAAAAAAAACATAAAAAAAAAGAAAAAAAATTTTTAAACTTGTAAATATGGAGTTAAATAGAAACAGTAAATCACTGTATATCCATAAATGTATAATTGAAAATTTTTAAATTAAAATATATATTAAATGAAATTATGAATTTATTAAATAACAAAGGAAATGATATAGAAGGTGATAAAAAAAATAAGTTAGATAACGAAAATGAAGAAAATCAATTAAGTAAAAATAATGATGAAAGTATATTTGATAAAAAATGTAAACAAGAAATATTAAAAGAAAAAAAAGATGAACATAAAGATATAAATATACATCAAAAAAATAGTTTAAATGATGATGTTATATTCTCAAATGTAACTTTATGCTTAATGGGGATGTCATCTGTGATTCTTTATAATTATGTATTAAATACAACTCCCCACATTCATGCAATGCTAAATAAAAATATTATGATTTCCTTCACATTTTTCTTATATTTTTTTGTTTTGGTTATTGTATCATTAGTTAGTTCTTTATTACTTGAAGTTAAAATAATTACTTATGATATATGCTTTATTTTATCATTTGTTTTTCAGCTTATTTACCCATATATAGTAAAATATTATTATGATAGAACTTTTTTTTTCTATTTTCTAATATGCTGTATTGGAGGGATTTGCTCAATTTTAAAAACTATGATATTTTCCATAGCATCTATAGTTTTAAACAGTTCAAAAGTAGTTTGCTTATCATATGGATTAACTGGAATATATTCTTTTTTCCTTACTTCCTTATTTTATTATTTTATTATTAAAGTTGATAAAAATGTAGAAAAGCTTCAGTTATCTTTATTTATCACATCGACAATTAATTGTATGCTCATATTATGCTCCTTTATTTGCTATTCACTTTTAAAGAGAACAAAAAATTTCAAAAAGAAGTTTAAAATATATACAGAAGAAAGAAAGCATGAAAAAGAAAGCGAAAAATTCTACTATGAAAATATCTTAGATCAGAACACATTAGATGCTTCTTATTCTATATCCATTAATGTGATAAAAGATGTAGACAATACAGATGGTAAATATTATTTAACAGAAAATGAAAATGTAAACGCAGGAAAAAAAAAAAAAGGCGAAGAAAAATATACAAATAACACTGATAATCAAATAAAAGAAAAAATGACATCAAATAATGTTTCATTTAATAAACCAGTAAATAATAATAAAAGTAATACAATTTCATTAGCAACTAAAAATAAATTCTGCAATAAATTATTATTATATAAAAGAAATATGAGGAATTTTATGAAGCGTGCAAAACATAAAACCTTTTTATATAGAAAAGCATTTATCTCTTTATTTTGTGTATTTTACAATATATTTTTAAAAGTTATAGTTTTTCCTGTTGTTTGTCCAGAAATATGGACAAAAAATGTAGATGAACGATACATATTAATTGGAATAGTTCAAGTAGCTGACTGTGTAAGTAGAATTTTTCCTACATTCGCCCAAAGTTTTCCAATTTTAAAATTTTTTCTTTTGCCACAAAAAAAAGTACTATTATATTCATTTGCAAGAACTTTTTTGTCATTATTATGTTTAATTATTCCCATAACGAAAAGTCATATTTTTCATAATTTTATTTTTAAATGCCTTCTAATTTTTGCAAATATATATTTGAACGGATGGTTTGTTACATTGTCCTTTATAAATATTCCTAGTGTTTTAAAATCATTTAATTCATTAAGCAATGCTGCAATTGTTAACAGTTTTGGATCTACCTTACTAAGAGTTGGACTATTAGCAGGATATGGAGCTTCTACAATCTATAAATATTTTGTTACACAATTTATAACCTATAACTCATAAAACTTTTTAAAAGTGAGTTTTCTTTAAAACATATTACATAAATATATATTTGTGTATCTATTTATACAGCTTATTTAATTATTATTTTTTATTTAATTTTTTTTTAATATGATTAACATAATATATCTATTTAAAATATATGAGTGCCTTAAATTATTTTTGTAAAGTGATTTTCCTTTTATTTCATACTTTGATATAATGCATGTATTTTTACGAATTGAATATATGCACTTTTTTTTTTTTTTTTTTTTTTTTTTTTATTTATCATCGTGTAAATTTTTTTTATAAAATATTTATATTCAAGCTTTTTAATTAAAATTAATATATATGTAAAATATAAATAAATAATCATATACAGTGAGAGAGAGAGGGAAGAAAAAATAATTTTTTTTCTTAATTTTCTGATTTTATATATGTTTAATTAACTTAAGACTTTTTTAATTCAATTTAATTTACTATTTGAAAACAATTTTTGTTTCCTCTATTTTTTTTAAATAAATTTACTACGTTTTTTAAAAAGAAACGCTTTAAATTTTTAGTACTTAGAATTAAATATATTTTTATTATGTTTTTTTTTAAATTGCCAATATATGCTCATAAAAAATTGAACTTTTCTTATAATTCAAAAAGAAAATTTTTTATTTTTTTAAAAAATGAAAATAATATAAGGTTAAATCTGCATTATAAACTAAAGTATAAAAATAATTTTATAGAAATAAATAAAGTATATTTTAATTCTTTATCTGATAAAAAAAAGAAAAATCTTGGAGAAAAACAGAAAAATATAATATTAAAAGATGATGCTTATGAAAACAATGAATGTATTTATATTAAAGACGAAAAAAAATTAGTTGTACTTAAGAAAACTAAAAGTATTATTAATGAAAATAATATCAAAGATTATCACTTAAATGACAAAGTAAAAATAAATAAATATGATGACATTGAAAAAAATATCCATTCTAGTAAATTAGGTGATAATATAAAAGATATCTATTATGATAATTCAAATAACAATTCAGAAAAAGATAACTTATTTATTAATATAAATGACAATATAGAAGAAAATGTTAATTTAATATACGAAACTTATGATAAAGAAGAAAATAACAAATTTATTACTTTAAATGATAATGGAAAATATAATAAGTATATTAATAATACAAATGACGATACAAAAAAAAGGAACAGCCATTTTAACAATGTTACAAATTATGATAGAGAAAACAAGGAATGTTTTAGTAATAATATAAATAATGATGTTGAAAAAAAAAAAAATGAAGCATTAATGAAATTATTAACAGAAGAAAATGATAATATTATGTTGAGGAATGAAAAAAGATTTTGTGATTTTTTATGGGTTGTAGCAAAATCAGGCAAAGGAGGATCACCAAATTATAAAAAACAAAGAAGTAGAAAATTAAAGGGAGAAGGATATGGAGGACATGGAGGTAATATTATTTTAAAAAGTAAAAAAAGTATTTTCGATTTAATTAAAATCGAACAAAAGATTAAAGCTAATAATGGAGAGGATTTTAAAGAAAATAGTAGAGGAAAAGATGGAAAAGATAAAATTGTATATGTTCCGGTAGGTACTATAGTAAGAAAAAAAATTTCTTGTAGAAAAAAAAATGAAAACAATAGAAAAATTTATAAAAGTGTGTTCTGGTATCAATTTTTAAATGAAAATGAAGAATTACTAGTAGCCAGGGGAGGAAAAGGAGGAATTTCTTATTCCTATTTTAAAAAGCATGATTTTAGATTACCAGAAGAAAGTGAGAAAGTACTATTAGAATTAGAACTAAGATTATTAAATGATGTAGCTTTTATAGGAATTGAAAATAGTGGTAAAACGTCCTTATGTAGTAGTTTAAGTAAATATTATGGAAACATAAATAGTGATATATTTACTACGACCATCCCTCATATATCTAATATTAATTATATAGATGGAGTTCAGATAACATTATTAGATACACCGTTTTTATTTTATAATGCTCATAAAGATAAAAATAAAGGTAAAAGAATATTGAGGCATTTATATAGAAGCAAATTAATCGTATATGTTGTAGATGTTTCTAATGATAAATTAAAAAATGTAGATGATTTGCAAATAAATGATTATTACTTAGAAAGTTTAAAAAAAGAGAATTACGTAAAAAATGAGGAAACCAATTATGAGAGTAATAAAGATATTAAAAATCAATTGGATAATAAAATAAAATGGCAAATAACTCATAGAGAAGATGATAACTTAAAGGATTATTATAATGACACTATAAAACAAATAAAAATGCTTAGAAATGAATTGTTCTTATTTAATCCTGAATATTTAAAAAAAAAAGAGTTAGTTGTAGCAACAAAATGTGATATGCTACATAAAAATTCCTTGCTTAATTTAGATTCGTTATATTTTCGTTTGAAAAATATTTTTCCAGAAATTGAGGTAATTGGAACATCGGCAAAATTTGGTTTAGGTATTAAATCACTTAGTAAAAAAATAAGAGAATTAGTTTATCCACAATATATTCTACAAAATAATAAATTATATTCTAAAAACATAGAAGATTACGTTATACCTACATATAAAGACTTTAAAGAAGGAAAGAAAAAATTAAAAGATTATGAATTACCAGAAAATATTAAACATATATACGATCATAATTATAAAGAAAATTTTGAATATTTTTTAAAAAAAAAGAGAAATAATACAGATATGCATGAAAACGAAATTAACTCAAAAGAAAACATTAAATTTTTAGCTGATGATGAAACATAAAATACAAATAAAGTCATATTTGAAAGGAGTTAAAAGAAAATTATATTAAATGTTATTGTGAATTTTAATAAAGCATGAAAAAAAAATTTATGATAAAATATAAAAGAAACAAAAAAAAAAAAAAAAAAAAAAAAAAAAAAAAATAATATATAAGGAAAATATCACATTGAAAAATTATTAACAGGCAAGTTGCAATTATACAATTTACATAATTTTTCAACAAATTTTTTGTTGTAATTATCAGAGTTCTTATAATTTTTTATGTTATCATTTAAAGTTGAAAAAAGTATGTTTCCTGTTTCTAAAAATTCCATATTTTTTTCGTTTTCCTTTTCAATTAATTTTGTTCTACAATGTCTTAAAGGAGGAACAGCTATTGTTCCAATCAAATCCTGATAGAAATTAAAAAAAAAAAAAAATTATTATAATATATGATATTATGTAATTAAACATAATAAAATTTTAAATAGAAAAATCCATAATAATATAATGTAATATAGCATATTCAAATATATTTTATTAATGTTTTATGTAATATTAAGAATAAAATATATTAAGAATAAGATAAAATTAAATTAAGAAAATATTGGAATGGGTAAAAATTGATAACCTTATTATTCAATAATGGATTTAAAAAAGGATAAAATTCTATGGAATAGTAAGAACTTTTAAAAGTAAATAAAGCTGTCAAGCAACTCCTTAAATTATCTTTTAGTAAAAAGGAAGGAATTAATTGAAAATAATTTTTCTTTTGATTATAAATTACATTTTCATGAAATATAGAGAAATGAATTGATAGTGGAGTATATACGGAACTCAAAAGATCGTTGTAATTGTTATTCAACCTTATATGAGGAAAAGATACTGTCTGATATTTAAAAATTTTATAATTTAAACAATAATTACTTTTTAATTTTTCCCAATTTGTTTTAAATTTTTCATGTATATCACTTGTATGAGACTTTATGTGGAAATTAGTAAAATCATCTTCCACTGTTTTTATAAACTTTTTTAGTTTTTTTTCTAATAAAGAAAAGCTATTTTCATTATAATAATATTTAACAACAATAAAATACTGAAACATATATTTATCATTACATATATGACTTATATTATTAACATTTAGAATTATATTGTCTCCAAAAAACACCCTATTTTGATATTTATCATTGTTCAATATGTGCTCATTTTTTATATCGTTATTATGCATATGATCCTTATTTTTATTTTCATCAATGCTGTTCGTATTTTTCTTTCCTTTATCATATCCATAATCTAAAAAAAATTGATAACTTTTGATGAAATTTTGTATTATTTTGTCCATTAAATTTGAATTAAAATTTCGGAAAATTTCATCAATATATTTAATGTATGTTGGCATCTCCATATCAAAAGTAAATAATTTATCCGAATGAATGGCTACTTTGCCACTTGACCTTAAAATATTTAATGACATGATATTGTGTAACTTAAATAAATTAAAATATATTATAGTATCGTTAATATAATTATCATTATGCAAAAAATCAAAATAATTTTCATATATGTCTTCAAAAGTTAATTCGTTTGAATTTTTATTTAAATACTCATAAAAAAAGTAATAATTATAATATATATTAAAATATTCAAAATACTTATTTTCTATATCACAAGATTTTAAGCACATTTGTAATATCACATATTTTTCAATTGGTATTTTATTGTTTTTTAAAAACTCAAACTCATTTAAATTTTCATTAATTAAATTAAATAAATTTAAAAACGTTATTCCATACCTTTTCTTTAGTACTCTATGTAAATCTTCTTGATATTTCATAAAAAGATTATTCTTCATTTTATTTTTCTCCACATATTGATATTCATATAAATTATCATTAATGCTTATTAATTCTATCATTTTAATTAAAAATTCATAAACAATTTCACTTTTAATATACCGAAACCCTTTATTTTTGATGTATAATAAGTTGTTATTACTATATTTTTGTAAGTGTAATAAATAACTACTAATTTCCTCATTAGAGAATTGCAAATTTTCGAAAAGTGCTTTTTTGCTAATATAAATTATGCCATCATCATCCTCATCATCACTATTGTTTAAAGTTTCATTATGAACTAACAAATAATAAGAAAATAACAATTCTACGTTATTAAAAATTGTCGCTTTTTGGGTTAAAATAATTTTTTCTTTACATAGTCCCATAATTGATAAGGTTTTTATTAATTCTTCTTCTTTATAAAAAAAATTATTTCTATTTAATCCATTTTGATTTGCTTCAATGCAATGTGAAGAATTTATATTATCCATAGGAGTATTTTTATAATACTTAGAAAAAAATGATTTAAGGCAAATTGCTAATGTTCCATCAATATCATTTAATAAAATATTGTATGTTTTGTTTTTTGTACATAAGACGGCATCATTCATTTTCCCTAAATTTAAACATAACTTATATAAAATATAATTAATATCCTTATTTTCTGAAAAAATTAAATTAACCTTGTATTTATTTAATTTATTTAAATTTAAATGATTATTTTGATTATTTAATTCAAAAATATTATTTCGACTGCTTCTTTTAAATGAATTATTGCTATTACTGTTTTTTTCCGTTATATTATAATCATGAGATTTTATAATATCATTATGCTCTTTTATGTATCTATTAAAAATTTTAAAATATATATCTCCTGAATTGTTTATTATATCTTTTAATTCCTCATTAATAGAAATTAATAACCACTGATCATTTATGGATTTTATTTTATTAGATATATAAATTTGCCATATTTCATCTTCCGTGATGTTTTCTGTTTCTTCTTCCTCATTAAAATCTTCTCTTTTCTTCCCACTCTTTGTTATGCTCAATACATTTTTCATAGTTGTATTAATTACAGGACTGTTAGCAAATACAAGTGATTTATCTGCAATATCACATACTTCATAAATGTAGTTACATATGTTATAAATGCTGTTTTTTTTTTTTTTTTTTAAATTTTCTAATTCACTGTTATATTTTTCATAAAAATTAGAGTATTCAGTATATTTTAAAATACATATATTTTCATTTTTAGACATTTCATTAATTATTCCTTCAATTATGTGTGCTGAAACATATAATTTGGGAATTTTCTTTAGATTATTCACATCACTCACTAAGTTTTTTTGAACCTTTATTTCATCCTCAAAATTGTAATGCCATTCTATATATGCCCATAAGTGATCAATTTCATACACATATTTTTCTCTATGAGATGTATTTATTTCCTTTTGTGTAAATTGTTTTTTCTGTATATTAAATATATTTTCCCCTTGATTAATCAGTATTTCATCATTTACTATATTTTTCTCTTCACTTAGAACGTCAGAAAAATCAGCTTGGATGTCTAAAAGTGTTAAAGAATAAGCCTCTCCTTTATCATATGTTCTTTTTAAAGGTACTATTTCACAACCATTTTCTAAATACTAAATAAATAAAAAAAATATTGTATTTATATTTATATTAGTTTCATATGATCATATAATCTCTATTTAAGAATATAATTGCTTTCATTTTTGAATAACATAATAATTTATATAAAATTAAAATACATTTTTTCCATATTTATATATATACTTAATTTTTTAGCTTTTCTTTTTGATTTTCATAAACTTTAAAGTTAAATTTTTATTCAATGTTATTATTAAAATATAGTATTAATATAATATATTTTTATTATAGCGTTATTAAACTAAAAAAAAATTAAATATTATTTACAATTTTTAAAACTAATGATGCATAATATTTTATATTATTTTTTTTATTATCATTCTATATTATTTACAAATACTTTTAAAATTTTTAGTATGTTTTAAATAATATGATTTTATTAAATATTTCATACTTTGTTTTTTTCAAAATACAGTTGGACAAAAAAAATAAAATAAAATTAAATAAAATTAAATTAAATAAAAATATTGGTATATAAATGAAAATACATATATAAAATAATAATACTATTATTTGTTTTTATATAAAAATAATTACCCATTTATAAGATTTTATTGTACTCATTTTCTCCAAGTTTTCCTTATTGTATTTTTATTTTAAATCAAATTATAATGGAATTAAGTAAATAAATATATATTTATATAATATATATTTTTTTTTTATACATGATAAAAATAAAATGTTCCTTTAATCATTAATTATGATCATAGTTAAATAGTAATAAAATTAAAAATAAATCCAAGTATTCTTGTATGAGTATTACAAAATTTAATTGTTTTCTTTTTTTCTTATATAATAATTGCACTTATGTTTTTTTTTTTTTCTTTATATAAAATTTCAAAATAAATTATAGCTACAGTGTTTTTCTTTTTGCTTCTGTTTTTTTAATAAAATAATAGTATATAAATATATTCTTTTTTTATTAATATATAACTTCCTTTATATGAATGTTTTATTTTTTAAACTTTACAATAAATAAGCCTATATTCATATATACAAAAACATTTTTTTTTATTATTTATAAAGCTTTATATAATTTTTCTCTCATAAATTTTATGTTATATGATCTTACTACAAAAACATAGGTACCATTTTTAGTATAATAAATTATATAATATTGTAAGATTGTAATACATTTAAATGAATATTTTATTTACATCTTATATTTAAAAAATTAAAATGTTATGTAATTCAATATAATTTTAATAAATATAAATCTTTGTTTAAAAAAAAAAAAAATAAAAAAAAAAAAAAAAAAGACAGTTTAGTCACTACTTTTCATCAATAGCAATATATCATTGCTATATATTTATTTTAGTTACAAAAAAAAAACAATGCAGGAAAAAAAAGAAAAAAAAAATTACAATACTTGAATTTATTAAAATACCTTTAAAAAAAACTTTCTAATTATATATAAAATATGCATGTGTTATCCAATATATAATTAAATAAATTCTAAAATATTTAATAAAATATAACCCTTTTTTACTTAGAAGATAAAATATATAAGCAAATAAAAGAAATATATAATTTATATACTTTAAATTGAAAACATTATGCTAAACAAAAATTTTCATTAACTTATTACTATTTTTAAAATCTCTGTACTTTTAAATGTATAAAACCCTTTTATATATACACATATATAAATATTAAACTTTTTAGTTAGGTTCTTTTTTTTAATATTTATAATAATTTTAAGTTTAAAGTTCTTCATCACATATTGTAATCATAGGATCAACAATATTTTCATGTATGGAGGGCTTAAATTTACCCCTTGGCCTTTCTTTCAAATTCCAGTAATCATATACATCATCATGTTTGCACAAATATAAAATTTTTTGATCTATTGATTTATTGCTAACTACACAAAAAACAACATCACCTACATTAACATCACGAAATTGTGCAACAGATGAAGGAGTACATGCCATACCTTTTCTTGTACTATTTAATTTAAAAACGCAATTTATCATTGATTTGCTTACCATCATGGCTTCTATTATATTTCCTCTTTTTGCTAAATCATTTGGTGATTTATAGCGAGAATTAAGGAAACAATAGTTTATAAAATCTCTTGACTTTTCCAAAACTTCCTTCTTGGGAATCAAATTATCAAAAATTTTGTACAAAGGTAATAAATACTTAACATTTTTTAAAGCGTAAATAATACACATTTTGCTCAATGGCCTCATTTCCCAAATTTTTTCATTTTTATACATTTCTTTTTTTATATTATTTAGGCATTCATCTTTAACTCCCAAGTAATCATTCAGAAGTTGCAAAAAACTTACTTGATATAAATCATTGTTTTTCTTTTTTTTCATTAGTAGCATATGAGCTATTGATGTATCATAAACGTTTTCAAATTTTATACCTAATTGGTTATACAAGGCTGAGCTATCTTCTCTGCAATCGTGAACTAATTTTAGAGTTCTTTTATTTTCAATTATTTTCTTTACACTATTTTTAACTGATAATTTTAGCAAATCAAATATATAATATTTCTCAACCACTTCATCATCTGATTTATCCTTACTCCTTTTTTCCGTATAAACTTGCATAATGCATATTTTTCCATATTTACCTAAATTTGTTCCCTCAAAATCTACTGCAATTATGTCATTTTGATTTATTTCTTCAACAGCTTTTTCACCATCTTTTTCGTTCTCAATAACTTTAATATTTTTATAATTATTTTTAGTATTATTACTTTCTAACGCAAACTGTGTTTTATTATCTTCATTAATTGTTTTACATTTTTTTGAAACATTAAAAGTAAATTTTTCACAATAAAATTTTTTAAAATTTTTGATTAACTCTTCATTTTTTAACTTTTTTAAAATATTAATACTAAATAAATTGTGATAAAAAATTTTATTTTTTTTCATATAATTATTATTGCATACATATTTCATTGATTTCATGTTCTTTTACCAAAAACTCACGAAAAAAAGTGCAATGAAATATTATAATTATAAAATTTTATCTTAAAAATACTAATCAAATAAAAAAAAGCTTGATCATATTGCATTTATATTATTTTATTTATTAAATGAACAGAGAATTTCTTTTAAATTTATTACATACATAATTTTTCTATATAACAATGTTAATGCATAATGCATTTAAATTATTTTATTTGAGCTTGCCGTACATTCATTGAATTGCTAATCTTCTGAACATTTTAAAAATAGTCATAAACATAAAAAAAAATAGCATTTATATAAAATCGTAATTAATAATAATTTAAAAAATATAAATAAATATATGTAATAAAAAAAAAAATAAATAAACGGCGAGTTATATTTGTACATATAGGAATATATAATTATCATAAATGTTGTATAAAAAATGAGGTTAAGGGTCGCGAGAACAAGAGAAATTATGAATAATAAGAAATATTTTGCTTTGATAACAACTATTTTTATTTTGATACAACCTTTTTTTTTTTTTTTTACCTTGGCTATTTTTGCACACATGAAAAATTATTAAAAGAAAAAGTTACATCCAAACGAATAATGTTAAACTATTGGACAAAAAAAAAAAATATTAATCTTTATTTTATTTTATTTTATTTTTTAATATGTTCTTTAGATATTTTTTTATCAACTTTAAATTTCTTTTAATGATAAGAATACTATATGATATACAGTTCATATTCTGTTTTTAAATTTTAATGTTTACTGTAAAAATCGTTAGTATTTTTAATATTATACTCTTATAATATTATGCTCTTAAAAATACATTTTTTAATTTCATTATTTAGAAATAAAGAAAATTTAGATTTTTTCGTATCTTATACTATGTTTTTAATTTGTACATAAATATTTTTTATTTGTACTATAAAAATTCTAATTTCTGTTGTATTGCTAATATTTAAAAATAACATGGTTATTTATAGTGCTACATAAGCTCAAAACTGTAATTTATTTGAACTTTATAGAAAACTTTAATTTTTCGTAAGAATACCCTTTATAATGGAAGAAGTAAGTTGTATCCCAGGCTATAAAAATATAAATATTGAAGCCTTGTACAGGCCACAAGAAGACTATGCTTTTGTCAATGATATAAAGGCTAAAAAATTTGTATATAACCCATATTTTAAGAGAGAATTAGAAGGTCCATTTATTGAGGAATATTATGAACATTATGAAGGTAATAAGGCATTAAAACACTTTTTATTTTCTCCACATATTGTTTCACCACAAAAATCAAATAGGCAATGCAATCCATTTGTGGCTTATCCATATGGAGTTCCTCAAGATCCGTTATATGAAAAGTGCCCTAAATGTAAAGGAAATAAAAAGTATAGAAAAAAGAAGAATAATAAAACTAAATATTATTATGAAAACGATTACTTTAGTTCGAAATTAAAGCCATGTAGTAGTTCACGTGACTTTGATTCTCATGAAGATAATTATTATAGTGACAACGAAGACATTCATTATTTTAATTATTCACATGAAGAAAATTGTCAAAGAAATAATTTTAACAATTCACCTTACTTAAACAATTTTGAAAATATATACTCTAATGGATGTAAAACCGAGGAAAAATCAAATAATTCAGTAGAAAATTTCGATGTAGATGATTGTAATAAAATTAGTTCCTTAACAGATTACCCTCGTCAAAATGATGAAAATTCTGAATATTTTTATAGTTATAATGAAAAGGCAAATATGAATTCTCAAGAGGAAATTAAAAAATACATTGAAATCTATCACAGTCGAAATAATTTTCATTCAAATGATTGTGATTATGAACAAAATGATTCCAATGATAAAAGCTTAGGTGTTTACAAAACGAATGACACTAATGCTGAAGAATATCAAAGTACTATTGATGCAGAAAAGGAAAATGAAATTGAAGCTATTTTAAATGAGTATAGTGATATGATTCAAACCAATGAAATGAATAAATTTGCCGATAATAAAGATGAAACAAATGAAAACAATAAAGAATTAACAAAGGATAATGATGAATTGAATTCCGAAAAAATAACAATAGAAATTAAAAACAAAAATATAAAATATAATGTAAAAAATGATAAAAATTCAAAACAATATAAAAAACAAGTTAAAATATGTGAAAATGAAAATGTTTTAACTAAATATAATGTCACAGAAAATTTTAAAAAGCATGAAGTTTCTAAAGAAAATATAAAAGCAAAAAGCCCATTACAAAATAGTTCTCAATATAGCCAAGAATATGAAAAAAAAAAAAATGAACATAATGGAAGATTTTGTAAATTAATTAATTCAAAATATGAAATACAAAAAAAACTTATGGAAACAAAAAATAAAAAAGAAAAGAAAAATAGTCTAGAATTGTCAACATCAAATGATGAAGAAACATTCGGTTCTTCTTCGCCAAAAAAAATATATGTGAAATATAGGAAACTATCTTTAGATAAAAATAATAGTTCACCGAAAAAAAGAAATGAAAAAGAAATAAATTATAAAAATTTAAAGAGTACTATTCCTAGAGCAAGGTCGTTAAAAGTGAAGAGTGTTATTAATTTGTCAACAAAAAATAGTAATTTACCTTTAAGAAAAAAAAATTATTTAAACAAATTAAATTCATTGACTGAAACTAAGTTTAAAAAACAAAATACATTTGCATTAAAAAAAAGAAAAAGCATTTCAAGGCTAAATTCTATAAAATCTCCAAATAGGGTTATTTTAAACAAAAAAAAAATAGAAAATACTGAGAAAAGCATAAGTTCTTTAGACAATAAAAAAAAAAGAGATTTTCAATCAAGATCAAAAAAGTTTCTTAGCAGATCAAAAACAAAGGTTTATGTTAACAATGAATCAAAACTTTTCAAAAAGTCCGAAGTAAAAATGCTGTCAAAAACTCCTTTTAACCCACATGTATCCGAAAAAAAATCAAAGATAAATGAATCTGATGATGATAAAAAAAAAAGAATTAAGGATATCTCCAAAACTAAAAGAAGAACAAATTTGAACTTTAATGCTAACACTCCAAAAATAAATAGCACTTCTATAAGAAACAAACTAAAATCGAAAAAGAAAGAGTTATTTGAAAATATTTTGTCCTTAACTAAAAATATGAAGGAAAATCCATTAAAGAAAGAATATAATGATAAAATAGAAGATGGAGATTTCTTATCCATAATTTCTAATAATAGTAATGATGATGTGGAAAGTAGTCCTAATGAAAATAATAAGAATATCAATTTAACTACTCTTAATTCAACAGTTAAAAAAAAAAAGCATTAACACAGAAAAAGTTAAAATAAGTAAGTATGTGAAAACAAAGTTTATTTTAAAAAGAAAAACAAAATCAATGGTAGAAAATTTTACAAGGAAAATAATATAATTGTACTTATGTATACTATGAAAAATAAAAATTTAATTGGAATATGAAAAAAAATTAAAAATTATAATAAAAAAATAAATGTTATTAATAACGAAACAAATGATTTATAAAAAAGTTATGCAAAATGTCAAAATTCATTTTAACATTTATATGGATACATTCAATATTAAATAATGTATTTATGTAAACAGTTGGAATATTTATTTAAAATTTTTAAAATAAAAAGAAGTTATACCTCCAGAATAATAAATTGTTAAAATTAGACATTATGTATTAAGAAAAACAAAAAAAAAAAAATAAAATAATAAAACAAAATAAAATAAAAAATAGACGTAAATTATGAATTTAATAATAAAAAAATGAATATTTCATTATGAATTAATACATTTACAAATAATTATATGGAATAAATAATAATTTAAACAAGAATGTAGAATGATTGTTGCCTTAAATTTTATTTTAATATTATTTGTTTAGTTATGATACTCAAATGAAATATACTTATTTACATACAAAAAATGTAATTTAAAAGCTTATTTAAAATAATATACTTTTTGAAAAAATTGCGTTAATAAAGCATATTTTATATCAAATATATAAATAGAAACAAATAATAAATTTGTATCAGTTAAAGAAGTTTTAAACTTATATGAAAATTTAGACTCAATAATATATATATAATTGGAAGAAATAAGTTAAAAAAAACAGAGAACCAAAAAATTATTTTTACATTTTACTAAAAATATTTTCAAAATAAATATTGTAAAATGATTTTTAGTTTCATTCATTTATTTAAAAAAAAAAAAAAGATAGTAGCTAATAATAATAGCTAATAAGTTTCATATTTTTTGTATACAACATTTTTTTAGCTAGAACTTAACATAATTTTAGCATTTCATATATGATGTTTTATTATATTCTATTACTCATTTATTTATTTATTTATTTATTTTTTTTTTTTTTTATTAATTTCGCATCTTTTATTTTTTATCATTTAATGGTTTTGTATTATTTACTTTTTATTACATATATAGTATTTCATATGATTACCATTTTTTACTATTTTTAAAAATTCTTTTTTTTAATTCAAAATGTTCAACATGGTCTAAAACCATTAAAAAAAGAATAAAATAAACAAATAAATTAAATTAAAAAAAATTATTATAATATTTAATAAATATACGAAATATGTTAAACAGAAATTATCGTTGTTTTTTCACAATTGGTTTTTTCTCACAGGTATAGTATAATATAATATAAAAAATATAGACTCACAGATTTATTTATATAGAAATTTTGTTTTTACAATAAATATTAATAAATTCTATATTTATATATAGCTTTCTATTAACTATTTTTATTTGTATTTGCATAGATGAATAATAATTTTAGATTAATTATTCTCTTAAATAAACATTGTATATATCAAGTTGGCTATATAATAAGATCAATTGTGTATAATAAATTTCCACAAATAATATATATATATATATGATCTTAATAGTATCAAACTAAAATTTTAAATTAAACACTCTTTAATTATCCACGAATTATGTTTTTTGAAAATTAAAAATAAAAAAGGTACTTTAAAACCTTAGAGATCTTAATAAAGAACAACAGAAATAGGAACTCAGAAATTAAAAACATATGTGCATTGTTCTTTTGTTCTATCAACAAAAAAAATTCTTTTATTTTTTAAAATAGCATGATGCATAATATGACAATTTATTTTAAAATGATCAGGTGTAATAAGTAAAAAAAACTTGTATTATAGTTTTTTCAATTATAAAAAAATTAGAAGAGATCAAAATTTGGTGATGTTAAAAAATTACGAAAAAATTTTAAAATATACATTTTAAAGTTTTCTGCAAGTATATAAAAACATGATTATGTATAATGAAAAATAAAACATAATGAGCTTTATTAATAATTCTTTTAAATTAATATGATTTTTATATATTATTAAAAATCTTTTAAATAAAAGTGGAAAAAAAGGTACTATAATAATAATATATTGAATAAATTAATAAATAAACAAGATTGCATTATATTAAAACTTTGTTCAAAAAAAGAATAAATTTTTAAATTTACATGTAAATATATATACACATTATGCTTAATTAAATCTAGGAAAATTTTTTTAAAATATTATTTATGTAATCAACTGTTATAAGAGTAATCATAGCATGTGGTGCAATACGAACGTAATATGTGGTGTAACTTGAGTAAAAAATAGAGATGCCCCCTTTTTTGTACATCTTATATGCACAATCAAGCATATTTTTATATGGCATTTTTTTCGTAACTGGATCTACTTTCATTTTCTGCATACATGTTTTAACAAAATCAAAAGGCAAACTTAATGTGACAGCAAAAAAACCACTAATAACACTTGCAACTAAGTTAGTTTTCATACCAGAGCCTAAATGTTTTTCTAAATATTCTTTTGATTGATCATATGTTGATAGCATACCTAAATTTAAAGACATCGCTCTAGCAATAGTTGGTACCGATCCTTTCCATAGTGATAAAATACCTTCTTCCTTAGATATTCTATATAATGCATTAAAAACACCAGTATAATTTCTTTTTAATTCTTTAGGTAAAGTATTATCTGCTTGTAATCTAATTAATGATAAATCTGCTGGATTTCCAATAAATGCTCCTAACCCCCCAGCTGCTAAAGCACAAAAACATTTTTTATAAAAAGGTAAGGGTTCACCTTCTTTTTTTACCATATCTGAGAAGGTACGAAATAATCCTAATCTTGCCGTAGTATATACAATTTGGCGAGTTAATCCTGCATCTAATCCTTTATATAATGATAATACTCCTTCATTTTTAATTATATCTTTAGCTACTACAAATGGATTTCTTACTACATTTTTTCCTTCAGCATTTAATTGAATTCTTACTTTTATCATATCCAGTGGTTGGATACAAAATGTTGCAAACATTCCACTTACTCCTCCAACCATAAATGGTTTTACTTTTTCAAAGGTACTTTTGTCCTCATTTTTGATCTTTTTTAGTTCTCCTATAGAACTATTTTCTAAATCATATTTTGCAGTTTCTTTATTCATTTTATTGTTAGATGAATTTATTTATGGTGTATAATATGAAAAAAATGATAAAATAAAAATATAAAATAAATATATAAGTTTTTATAAATATAGCAAAATATAAAGATTACAAAATCTAAACTATTAATAATATAAAAAAAAAAAAAGAATGAAAAAAAATTAAATGAAAAATAAAAATTAAAAATATAAATATTATTATCTCAAAAATATATATATAAAAAAAAAAAAAAAAAAATTGGATAATATAACAAATAATCAGATAAACTTTAAATGATATTCTTCCTTTTTATTAACTTCATAAATTCAACGTAGTGAAAATAATTGTAATTTATGAAATTAATTTTCATATTTATTACATTGCTTAAAAGTAAATTTAAATACTCTATACATATTATAGTTATTAGTCTATATAAAAAAATTTAGAATAAAATTTTTTAAATTGATAACAAAAACATTTTTTTTTATTTGTTATTTTATATAAATACATTTAATTTATTTAAATGAAAAATTTTATTCTATTAAAACATTTGATATATTATACAAAAATAATCATGTTCTCATAAATATTTAATATTTGAAAAAAAAAAAAATTAATTAAAAAAAAAAAGAATTTTATTTTTTCTTAACTCTTTTAAATATATTAAAGTCCTTTATATTTATATTTAAATTTCTATTTTTATAATTTTTAGATATGGTAAAGAGAAATTAAGATTTATTTATAGACATATATTTTACAAAATTTCATAATATATTATGTTCAAAGAGGAGAAAAAAAAATAAATAAAATAATATCTATAACTAAATGGAATTTAACTTACTGATTTTTCTATACTTAAAATATATTTTATACCATTCAAATTTTTTAATGTTATGAATATTTAATTGAAATTTTATTTTAATAATTTTATGCATTATTAATTTAAAAATAATACTAAAACATTCCCCATGAAAAGATAGAAAAAAATTATAAAAGATATTAAATATATATATATATATATATATATATATATATATATATATTTATATACATATATATATATCTATATGATCCTTCATTATTTCATAAATATATTGTAATTAAAATTAATTCATAATTTATATATGAGTTTATAAAATATGAAAAAAATAAAAAAGGTTAAGTTGTAACATACTGTGTTTATAAATTATCTATATATAGTTTTTTCTATAAAGGAGTATCGTACAAACTTGTAATATAAGATTTATTTTATAATATAATTAAAAAAAAATAAAATAAAATACTAAAAAATTTTGTTAATTTTGATGAAGTAAATTTTTTGATGACCATCATTTTATATCCTTATTTCTATCTATAAAATCATAATAAAAATAATGATAATTTTCGTGTATAAATATAAAATAATAAAAGACATAACTTTTTGAAAATAATATAATTCATAAAAAAAAAGAAAATAATTTATAATTTTAAACATAAAAAAATATATTAAGTTGGTCTAAAGGAAAAAAAAAAAAAAATTCTAATTAAAATAGAAAATAAAATTTTTTATCCATACAGAACAAATAATTTATATGTTAAAAAAGTTTTTTCTTTTAACAAAATATTTATAATATTTTATTTTATCTTTTATATATGAAATTATAGTCTCTAAGAATATATAACCTTTTTATAAAAAAAAAATAACAAAAGTATAAAAAGTTGCAAAATTGAAAAAAAAATTGTTCTAATGAAAATATGTATATAGTTAAATACATGATTTACTTTTTAGAAAAACTAGTTTTAAAGAACCATATTTCTTAAAAATAAAAATAAAATAAATAAAGATTATTATATAATTCTATAAAATAAGAAGAAAAGTTCCTTTTAATAAAAAATTCTGATAAATATAATTTTTGTATCTAACTTTTTAAGATGAGTGATCAAATTTCTAGAAATCCATCTTTAGATAGACCAAAAAAAAAAAAGAATGATTTAACTGAAAATATTAAAAGGAAGCTTGCCTTTAAAAATAAAGAAGAAATAAAATCATGTGTCAAATCTGTTATATCAAGCAATATTATTACATTATTATTTTCTTTAATCTCTATATTTGCGGGTGTATATTTAGCTATAAGATGTTCTTTTAATATTAGTTAATTTTTAAAATTCTATTTTTTTAAGATTTTTAATTTATTTTTTTATAGACATATTTGAATATATATATATATATATGTACATTTTTTTTTTTATTCAGGTAAAAATATGTGTACAAAATTTCAAGTATTACAAATTGTTTTAATAATTATATATGGTTCCATAGTAGGATTAGTTAGTTTAATTCTCATTGTTTATAGTTTGTCATAAATTTTATTACAGAGTTATTAACTTTAACGTTACTTATCCTTAACCTTATATATATAGAAATGTTTAAACTTTTTTTTTTTTTTTTTTGTTTATAAATATGTGAGTTATATTAATATAACTTTAAATTAATATTTGTTTTTTCTATAAGAAATGCTAATTTGACATATAATATTTTTTATTAATAATTATAGATATATATATTTGTTTTTCCTTTTGTTTTCTTTTACTTTTTTTGATTTTTCTCAAAAAAATAGTAATATTTGTTTTTTCATATATAAATATTGTAATAAACATATATTCACATGATATATAATCTTAATATATATTATTAATAATGTAAAAAAGGCAATGTATTTATAGCCCTTTATAATATAAATAATTTGCTATTATAATTATAATAACAAAAAAAAAAAAAAAAAAAAAAAAAAAAAAAAAAAAAAAAAAAAAAAAAAAAAAAAAAAAAAAAAAAAA